CTTTTCCCCACTGGAATAATTATCTTTCTGAACAGTCTTTCAGCACCAATGATCTTCATTTAGCTAATAGTTTTGTGGAAGCAAATGGCCTTGTATTAATTTTCTCCTTTCAAGTTAAAAATAAAGCATATGTGAGACCACTGGCTGCTGTTGTTGAAGGTGAGTTACAGCTACCCTCTTCAGGCAGTGGGGAACAAAGTTGCCCAGCTAGTCAGCTCTGTGTGCTTTCAAGGTAATGGTTGTAATCTGTAAAATTCTGCATGCACCTAAGATGAAGTTCACATTCGGAAACATATACTTAAGCGTATAAATCCTATTTAGTCATGTATTTACCCTTTGAAAACAATGGAAACTAGTAATCTAATAGAAGTTGGCTATTGTTTACCTTTGTGGATATTGATCCACATTGGTAAGAACATGTCTATACTTTCATGTATGTACACGAAAGTTCTTAGATAGTTCAGCTTGCTGAATAGATGTGGACTTGAACAAAAATAAGAGTATCCAGAAATGACATTGGAACAATTTAGCATTTATAAATGTGTTACTGTTGTTGTTCTTGTTTGTTTACTGTGACTAGGGGCATTTCTCATATTTATGATAAGAAGTCAGAACAAGACTGTTCCTGTCCAAAGGGCTCATGTCCTATTATAAGAGAAGAGACAAGTAGATGCCATAAAGGAAAACACACTGGCAGTATGCAAAACACTAGCAGCAGTGTAAGAGTGGCTGTGAATCCCAGTTTTACCATAAAGCTTGTGATTTTCTTTAAGTGCTGTCTTCTAGAATTGATTTATTAACTTAGCTTCCATATGTTTTCATTGGATCTAGCATTCACAATTGTGGACAAAACCAAAATATGGAAATGTGACACTGAATAGATAAGTCACCATCATGTGACAAACAAAAGCCCTCCAAATGTTTGCTTCTTAACTGTAAGCCAATGTTTTCATTTTGGAGGGAAAGAGAAAGAGATGAGTTTAAATGCTTGAACCTAACTAATGACTGGAGTAGAGGACAGTGAAATGGCCATACCAACATGTCTTGGAACACTCTACTAACATTTGTGGGAAATTTAAGTTAAAAGCTTCAGATTTGGTTAAATGGGGACAAATTTCAGAAACAAGATCCAAAAGTGCTCTTAAAATGACTGGAGTTTGAGTAAGAATGCATCCAGGGTGGATATATGAAGGCAGGCTATTGAAGTGTCTGGGTGGGGGTTATTTTCTTCATTAGACTGGCAGAGCTTTCATCTAATGCAAAACTATGTATTTGCCCCAGCTTTTAATTGAAGAGAGTATGTAGAATGCAGACATTGTATAGAGTGCAAAATTTTGTGTGTAGTTCTTTTTGTGTTTTTTCTTTAACCAATGCCACTTAAAACAGGGATTTAATGATTTCGGAAATTAGACAGAATCTACCATAGAAATGCTTTAAAGATGTAGTGAGTCAAGGGAGACAAATTCAGACTAGAGATACCTTAAATTTTTTAGTAGGAAGCTTAAAAATTGGAGAAAATAATCTGGAATGGTGTTTATTATTTGCTAGGGTTTTTTGCAGCAAAAATATGTGTCTTCCTAAACTGTGTGTATATATACGTGTGTGTATATATATATATATGTTGTTTCTCAAATAGAAATGGGTTTGGTGAAACCCATTCCCATTACTGGGAAAAGCTGGTTTTCCTTGTGTTTTGAAGGAGGTAGACAAAGATAGCAAAGCAGTTCCTCCGGTTTTATTATCACATCATTTATTGTATATTATATCACGCTTAGTAGAATGTGAGGTTCTAGTGAATGTTTTGGGAGCTCTTGAATGATTTTGTGTTAAATTTCAAGGTATTTTCTGTACATGTATTGTCTGAATATTGAAATAGATACTAGGTTGTGAGTAACTTGGAAATGTAGTGATCTG